TTCCTAGCGCAATGCAGGGCTCACGGCAAAGTTGCGTTGCGGTGAATTCAACCCGCCGCGTGTCAATTACTAGTTCCATCTAGCAGGTGGCCCCTGCCAAGCAGTCGAACAGGATGAATCACAGTAAAAGTTGGAGGTCGTTCGACTTGAGGGCGGTAGCACACGGAGACCAGTGCACTGGAGATATGTGATATGCCTGCCTCATAACGACGATCCTGGAGGGCAGCCTTAACTGATCCAAAGACTCATCAGAACGAGAAGACCTCAACCAGTTTCAATTATTCGTATTCATGGTGCATATCTTGGTTCTCGAGTTTGCTGACTGTGCGCGGGGTGATCTGCACGAATTTTGCCCCGACTTCATGGCAGTCGATATTGGATAAATAACTGTATTATTGGACGACCTAGAGATGCACCGGTGAACTCTCAACTTGAATCGTAGTGTCGAAACCAAGGTATACTGGCCACGTATGAGAACTTGGTATCTTCGTTGTGAAGAGGGCAGGTATTTACCAATCTGATCCTTCGAAACGAAGCCAACACCACCGGTCTACCCCTTTGGAGGGTTATCGAAGACACGGTAAAGAATGAAGCACCAAGGGTGCATCTCTGCGAGATTATCGAGTTCCTTCTTGAGAGGGAAGTCCTCAAGGTCTGTTCAAGGTTGACATTCCCATAGATAAGGCTCGGCGTCGTCTTGTTGGCAACGTTGGTTTCAGCGTCTCTGATGATTTGAAGCATTGGGGTTATACCAGTACCACCAGTGGTCATGCCAGTGATAAGCGACGGTGAACATATTGTCCTTGAGTCACGACAGGTTCGAGTCCAATGAGTATTAGTCGCGAAACGTCGCATGTGCCTTGCGCTTTGACTGGAGAATGTAGGAGCCGTACCAGACCGCTGAAGCAGTGGTAAGGAACGAAAGTACGAAGAGAGACGTACGAATGTCGCGCGGATGGCAGGGAGGGCTGAACATGGTCTAGAGAGTGACGGCGCCGAGGTTCGCGCTAACGTCTGAGCAGGGCAAAGATCTCAGAGTCTTAAACTTGAAGCTTGGGGTGTAGTATTCGGAGGCCGTTCCAAGTTGGGACTTCGCGCCGTGTCCAGTTTGGTTTACGTGGCTCGGATGGTCGTTTATGGGTATGTACCGCACTATCATCTTTTCTCCCTCCATCCTCCGAGACGCATAGCTGGTCTGGCATCCCCTTGGAATGTCCCAACGGTGAGGCTCTTTGCAACAATGTGACCGTAAGATCTTCTCATGTCTGAAATGTCTCCCAGATTGCGAGCACCGAATGCACTACGTGACCGTTCCGCGCTTCTTAGCGGCTTCACACCCCCAGCCTCCGGACGCTCGTCTCCATACGAACTTCCACTTCACGCATCCTCAGGTCATCGCTATGCTGACGATCTAGAGGGCCAGAATGACGAGCACCTCGAAGGTTTGAGTGCTAAAGTGAAGCTATTGAAAGATGTATGTTGTCTCGTGCGCTCAGACCTCGTCTATGCTTGGCACTCACTGCACCGTCCTTTTGTGAAGCTAAGTATTGGCATTGGGAACGAGGTCCGAGAGTCGACTATCCAGCTCAGTCAGATGGTACGCGTTTTACCCCAAGTTCCCTCGTGGCTTGCTGTCTAAGCAAACTCGTATCACGCTAGAACGACGCATTCGCAGAAACGTCCGGTATTCTCGGAGGGACATTTCGTCGAATGAACAACATGGCCCAGCGGCAAGGCTGTCGATGGTTGTGGTACATCATCTTCCTCGTTCTCGTCTTTTGGTTCTTCATTATTGTATGGTGGTTTCGACGCTGAACTCGTCAATGAACTTTGGACACGAGGACCTTTTGCACCATGAACTCTGAGTTGCCCTCCGTATCAATTATATTCGTACCCAACCCTTCTCATCAAGGTACCACTGGCACAACCCACCACTCAAACTACACAGCCTACGGCGCATACAATATAGGACTGCCACAGATATATCTCAGCAGATTGGTGTACGCAGGGAGGTTTAGAATAGTACCGTGACTATGGCCCATCAAGAAATTTGGCATGTCCAACCTCCCAGATCATCCGCCTTCGGAGATAGGGCATATTTCTCTGAGAGAAATTGAACACCTCTTCTCCTCGGGATAGCGCCTCCAAGAATTGGCACGTGAAGACACCACAATCATAGCCATTTTCTTGTTGCGGTGTATCCTGTGAGATGGTAGATGAGTTAACATTTACTGGGTTCAAAGATGGATCATACTTCTGGGTCATAATCCTCCCAACCTGTAAAGTCGAATGGCTTCTTCTTTTTATTCTGATGTTCTAGTTCAAGGTAGTGACGGAGACCCTAGGAATGATGATTAGATATGAACGTTCCAGATGGCAAGGTGGGCCAACCTTGAAGATTGAACGTCGGTCAAGATTCATACTGTCATACGACTCTATTCGTTTCCGACGGAAGTTGATCGCCGCTCCAGTCCAATGAGAGTTGTGGTGGTTGATAGGAATAAGGACAACGTCTTTGGAAAAGATGTCGAACTACGAGGAGTCAGTGAGCTAGCAGAGACACCATAAAGGAACAACACACCTTCTTTGTCCATTTCGCGAGCCTCGCCCGCTCGTAACCCTCCGCCTGCAGCTTCGACCAGAAGAAAGTATTGAAGTAATGCACATCCAATGGCTTTTTCCTTTTATGCGTAACACCGTTTGATCCAGGGTTCTCTTTACATGACTCAGAGCGCGAAAGAATCATCGCGCCGTAAAAGTTTATAATTTCGTCGTTTAGCCATTGCGCTGGCAACAGACGCGAGAGGTCCTTGTCGCAGACTTGTTCTCGCGCGACCTTGGAGATGACGCCTTTCTTGGCAAGGAACGCATCGACTTGTCTGTCTAAATCTGCAGGCAATGACTTGGGGAGAGAAGGTCGTAGACGCTGATCTATTGCTTCATCCTTCTTGCGCGCTCGTAGGCAAAGGTCGTTGTGGGGCGAGAAAGGTTTGGGTAGTGGCGGACTGGCCATTGGTTAATGCTGGCGCACTGCGTCCCCGACCTGTCGTGACATACCTGTCAAGTGACTGTTTCGCTTTGCTAATTGCGCGCTTCAAGAAATCGAGACTAACGTCCTGAGGGCTAGGTGGGCAAAGCGTAATCATGAAGATGCTTAAACGGCGTACATCTGAGAACGAGTGTCTGTGCCGTGGACCTGGTGTCCGCTCTGTCTGACGCAAGTCTGTCAGAGACTGCGAGGCTACGGTAATCGATCAGTATGAAGTCAGTATCTAGTAGGCGGGTCATGTTACACACATGACAGAATACCTTTCTTGTCTGGAAGCTCGAGTCGAATTTGGTAATTAAGGTAAGCTGAGGCAGAGCAGTCAGAAACAGAAGATCTCGGACAAATAACGATACTCACATTTGAATGTGTCCAAATCTGAGGCATATCCTAGACACCATGATTGTCAGATATGCTGTGATGTTCAGGAAAGCATTTGCAGTACCAGTTTTGCATTTCAGGAAGTAAAGCTCGTTCACCAGATCCTCTCTGTCTTTCTTTATCATCTCCTTTACGCTCGCCTTGTGCTACATGACATGGTACGGAAAATGGTGAGTCTGGGATTGTCATCATACGGTGGTAGCGATGCATACGCGGGGCTGATAAATATGAGGCCTGATCCTCGTATGCGATTGCGCCTTCTTCGACTGCTCTGTGGTCCGACTTCTTCGCATGCACTCCGCAAGACTTGCATCCATCGTGTGATGGCGGGGCAGGGAAGCTGGCTTAGAACTGATGGACGTCATCTCGGTTGAGGTTGCTGACTGTGGAGATGTACTGGAGCTATTCAGAGTTTTCATAGAATTTGAATTCGATGGGAAAGAGGAGGAAAGATTAGAGTGTTTTGGTCGAGCCTCAGACTTGTGTGAATGGAATTCGCTCGGTATCGGGAGTCGAGGAGGAATGGCGGAGTGAGGAGCAGGCGCTGTATGTACTGGTCGGTTGGGGGGTAACGATGGGAACTGGGACGCGTCGTGCTCGTTGATTGGTGCTAGAATTGGCCGTCAGTCCATGAGTTCATCACCACGAAGAGACTCAAGACGTACGTGGTAAAGGCATGGATTTTCGGCAGAAATGATTCCATCCATCCTGCATCCCTTGGCAGAGAACAGCTAACATTCCGGGCGGTTCTTTAGTTCTTAGTTTTTCAGTTCTTGAATGTTTCGTTTGCGTGGTAGGAAGGAGATGATCAGAAGCCTTCCTCTTGCGAGCATTCATGGAAAGCGAGTGTTGGGGTAGTGTTGTGGATGGCAGAGACAGCCTCGTGGTGGTTGGCAGGTCGCAACGTACTCTGGTTGGATTACTATACTGGTGCTGGGTAGACCGTGTCAGACTCGGAGTATGCGAGGACCACTTTGACCGTCGAATGATCTCTGCCTTCCAGTCACCGAAGTTCAGTGAGTCTATGGACTTGCCAAATCACAAGGAACCAATTTCCCACGGCTCGCCGCGATTTCAAACCCCGTGGTCCACCAATCTCTTTTGGTGATAATATTTGGCAGAGATAACAACGTCCCATACTGTACATGCCGCGCTAACGAGAAAAGGGCAGAAGTAAGTACATACTATAACTGGATACTAAATACCCCTGGAGTCTGGTACTAGATCTGTGAACCCACGTGTGTGGTGTCATCGGTTTTTGTACTGAGCTAGTACTTAGTAGTACTGCACGAAAGAAATGTTCAAAATCATCAATTACATAATGCTGCCACTGCCCGCTTGGCTCAGTTGGTTAGAGCGCAGGTCTCATATCCTGAATATGAGTAGTCGATCGATTACGTAATCCTGAGGTCGCAAGTTCGAACCTTGCAGCGGGCATATTTTTCTTTTATCTGCTCCTGATATTCATGTGCATGATTTTTGCTCGAGTGGTGCCATGGTACGTCCCATCGATATCCCACAACTTGGTACTAATCATCAGTGCACAGAAGTACTTCTGTTTAATATTCGCCGTCGTCCCTTCGCTGCCTCGCTGACCGCCCTCTAGCCTGATGTTAGTGCTGAGATTCGCGCACGTCTAGAAGTTTATCTTGCTCAAGGCTCCTTTCAACAGCCCACCACTCCCGCATATTCCTCTATCAGCATGACAGAAGACACGTCTGCACAAGCGATGATGGGGCGAAAACGGCCATATCCCTCACTCATTCACTTCAGCGATGCTTTCGTCATCTGCGCTGGATCTGTCCTCCTCCGCAAGGACCCACAGAGAAAAGAATGGCAAATATGCATTCTGCATTCTCCAAAGGCAGACGTATATGTATTACCCAAAGGCCGGAAAGACTGCGGCGAGTCGATCGAAGCTGCAGCCACCCGAGAAACCTTCGAAGAGACCGGGTATGACTGCAAGCTGCTCCCATGCACAATGACGACCAGGGCACCTCTGCCGCACGTCAACATGGTGGACGTGCCGCACGCCGTGGAGGGGGCCACAGAGCCGTTTGCTATTACGGTGAGAAGTCTTGGGGACGAGAAGTCGACGAAAATCATCTGGTGGTTCTTAACCATAGCGACGAGTGAGGTTAAGAGGCAAGGGACACAGACAGACTCAGAGGACTTTCACTCAGAGTTCGTTGAGGCTGAAAAGGCTCTGAAAAAGCTCACTTTCCAGGATGATAGGGAGATAGCTGGAAAGGCATTGGAACTTGTACGAGACCTGGGCGCGGGGGGAGGACAACCTGTTGAATATTGATGCTTGCGGGCTTCGTGACATGGGCGACAAGAGCAGATCGGACCCCTAAGGAATCGAGACAGGGTGATCATAGTTGTGGGAGAAAATATTTTAGGTATATCATCACTTAGAAGTGGGCGTGTGCAGAAAGTCTGGTACATCTAGGACCCATGCAACATGCAGTCTGAAGCTTGAAGCTTGAAGCTTGAAGTCAGCAACTGTCAGCAACCTGCTTGAACCTCGGGTGAGAAAGGAGGTGTACTTGCCAGTAGTCACGTGGGTCGCTCTGCTGTAAAGTGCGTCAGTCGTCTCAACGTCCAAAGACAAAACTTCCATCACGACTTGCCATTAGTATTCAGAACTACATTGGCGCTTCCAAACAACGAACTCGGGTGTCTGAGAGCTCTTTGATAGCGCTTTCGTATCAGTTCCTTCTATGTGATGGCGTCCAACCCGTCCCTCCGTGATCTGTACAGCCCTTCGTCTACTCAATGGACATTTGTTCTTCCGCCTTTACCGAATTCAAATGCTCCTGGTCCATCTATTTCTAATGCTTCGGGCACCTCATATCAATGGACCACCCGCCCTGCCCCGAACTCTATCTTTGACCTCTCTCCTTCCTTGAACGTTGGCCAGCCTTCCTCGGTCGATGTTCCCCTGCTCTTCCGCTCTCTCGTAGCTTCGGCTTTACTGCAATACAGCAGTACCGCAATGGCGATGCCCTTGGAAGTCGGGAAGTTACTTCTTCAGATCCAATGGGTCCCCAGAGATGCGCCCACGCAAGAACCCGAGGAGGAAGTGGAAGAAGAGGTAGAAACGGTAGGTTGATATGGGTGGTTACCATCTCTGCCAATTTAACCGTTTGGCGCGCCCTCCAGCTTAGTGAAACGACGAACGAGGAAGAAGAGTCTTACTTTGTCGACCCTGGCGCTGGTCCGACCAAGTATCCAGCTCCAAAACTCGTGGATGACAAGGGGTATGTGATCAGGACGTCTGTTTTGGAGGATGGGACGCGCCCAGAGTACATTATTCCAGTCGGTAGCGCGGACAGCTCATGGAGTATGGTGAAACGGGTGGCTAGTTTCCGCAGTGAAGGATGGCTGTCGCTATGGAAAGGTAAGGGTGATACGACAAGAACAAACATCCACTGAGACTGCTCCCCAGGTCTGTTAACGTCGTGCATTCACGACGTGATTTACACGAACGTACAACCACTCATCGACAGTGTTCTACATTCCTTATTCCCCTCGTCCCAAGGTGGTTTCTACAGACCACCACTGCTGCTACCAGTGGCTTCGCATGTCATCGCTGCCTTCTTGTTATCGCCACTTGATCTCGTTCGCACGCGACTCATTGCTCAATCGTCGACGCAGCGTTATAGAACGTATACAGGGCCGATTAACGCGCTTTCTGACATCCTAGCCAATGAAGGTGGCCTCAGGGGTGTCTACCTTCACCCCCATCTCCTGATTCCGACCGTCCTCGAGACTGGGCTCCGTTCACTGGTGCACGTCACGTTGCCCGCCGTGATTGCCCCTCGCTTAGGCCTTGGACCACACGTTGCAGCCGACACACATCCCGTTGCGTGGGCGTTCGCTGAGGTATTAGCGGGCTGTGCCGGTCTGTTGGTTACCCTACCAATCGAGACAGTTCGCCGAAGGCTGCAAGTTCAGACACGTGGCACGGCGAAGCCACTGCGTACGTGCGTCGAGACGCGGCCTGTGCCGTACAATGGTGTGGTGGATGCATTGTGGCATATATTGACAGAAGAGAGATCGGATTTGCCAATCAGGCGGCCACGGAGAAAGAAGGCAGTTGAGAAGGAGAGGCGTGAAGGAGATCAGGATGCGGAGGTATCCGAGGGGAAGGAGGAGGGTGGAAAGGGCTGGCTGAGGCACACTGGTATTGGGCAGTTGTATAGAGGACTTGGGATGCGCCTTGCGGCGAGCATCGTGGTTTTCTTGTTGGCCACTGTTGGTGGTGGGGAGGATGTCGACGGCGGCTGGGCGGAGCTGTAATGCGCTAGATTCGCGAGTACTTCTTCTTCAATACTTCGTTTACGCAACCCCCTTCTCAGCGTCTGAATCTTCTATAGCATCGAACACAGAATACCTCACTCCTTGTAGGATACATATTGGCCTTTGAAATTTAATCCGCGGAAGTTGGAACTCGTTCTTACGAGCAGCACGGAGTTGAAGGCGGCTTTTGCTTGCCTTCGTATTGGAGGGCAAGCTAGAAACAAGGTGGGGGTTATTGTAAAGAGTTTTGTGGCATTGCAGGCTCTGCCTGACTCAATGTATGACAGACCTAAGACCGTTTTCACCCTGTTCTCACCAGCGCTTTCGGTTGATGAGTGTGTTGACATTGCAGGGCACAATCTCTACCTGCCTGATCAACAGTTCATGCAATAATTTGAGCAATAGCGAAAGGGAGTGATATAGATAGGTAACACCGGGACTGGGACGCTGAATCTGATCTCCATTTGGGTAAGTTTGTTCTAAACAATCGTGGGTTTACTGAGCGGCATCCGGGAAAGTCCAGTTCCAGGCGTTGATGGCCTGCCAGTGGGGGCATGCATAATGATGGGTGTCAATGAAGGTAGCGAACATGAGGCAAACGAATAACGGTAACGAGGTGGGGTGTTCGGACATCCTTGCAATATTGCTTCTAATAGTTCGATAGCCGGACTGCGGACTGTATATGGAATGACGCCGGACACATGCTGAGATTCGAGGCCAAAGTCGGAAGAAATATTTCCTTAATTAGTGACTGTGACATCAGGGATGGTCTTCTCCACCCCCCCAACCTTCCACACGCTCTCGCACCAACCATTCCAAGGTGCCTGCCTCAATTTTATCCTACTTTAGTCTAGCTTCATCCACACTAACTTCCTAACCTTTCCTTTCCTTGTTGACTCTCCTTCATCCTCTTCGTTGCTCCCAATGTCGACGAACGCCCCTCACGAGGAGGCTGTAAATCACCAAAATGCGGAAGAACAGGCACATGCACACCTCAACAGCCTGTTCACCAACGACGTCGCAAAGGGTGCTCCCGTCCACTCCTTCAATCCAGATGCGCCACCCCAGGACAAGGCTGCAGCTATCAGTGAGGGCGCTGAGAAGCTTAAGCGCCCCTCTGTCGCAGACGGTGGAGCGAAAGGTACGTCGTTGTATATCGTCATAATGACACCATACGAGCCCTCATTGTATCCAGAGGTTCCAATCGATACCGGAGGCACAGGTGTCGTTCCAACAATCACAGTGGAAGATGCCGACATGGTAACAAAGGAAGAACAAGAGACGAGTCCCACCTCCCCTCCTGGTACCCCATCTACTCCATCGCCACCTGGTGCTCTTCCACCTGGTGCTACTCCAGCCATCCCGGACTGGTACAAAGTTGGATGGCGCGCCGTCGCAAACATTGATGCCCCTCCCCTTGAAGAAGGAGACGAAAAAGACAAGTCTGTCCTTCAGCTCTATCTGAACGAGCAATTCTATGGTGACTGGTACCACAACGCTGCACTCATCTTCTTTGTACGTCCCCTGTTGCATACTTTTTAATCATCTAGAACTATTGGGCAGGCTGTCTTTGCATCGCACTTCATCACGCGCTTCGGCCTTGGGTGGGGATGGCTATTCATCATTTTGGCGACTTGCAACACGTACTATGTCACTTCCATGTCTCGCGTACGACGTCGTGCGCGTGACGACATCCAACGCGAGCTCGTCAAGTCCCGTTTGACCTCCGAACACGAAAGCGCTGACTGGTTGAACAACTTCCTCGACCGGTTTTGGCTCATTTACGAACCCGTGCTATCGGCCACAGTTGTCGCCTCCGTTGACCAAATTCTCAGCACCAGCACCCCCGCATTCTTGGATTCGCTACGCCTAACTACATTCACTCTTGGCACGAAGGCACCACGCATCGACAAAGTCAGGACGTTCCCAAACACAGAGAGCGATATCGTCATGATGGACTGGGGCATCTCGTTTACCCCTAATGATATCTCTGATCTGACTCCTCGACAAGCAGCACAGAAGGTTAACCCCAAGATAGTGCTGTCCGTCAGGATTGGCAAGGGTTTGGCGACAGCCGCGATCCCCATCTTGATAGAAGATATCACCTTCACTGGTCTTATGAGGGTCAGGAT